GTCCAGCCACGTTTCATCTTCATCATCCTGGTAGATGGAAGCAGATTTTTATCAAGAATGTCTCTGTACATTTTTCCACTCATCCTTCCTTCAATTATTTGAAGTTTGCCAGTACCATATGCTGAAAAACAGCCCCACACCATGATGTTCCCACCTCCAAACTTCACTGTTGGTATGGTGTTTTTGGGCTGATGTGCAGTGCCATTTGACCTCCAAACATGATGTGTATTCTGGCATCCAAACAGTTCAATGTTGGTCTCATCTGACCAGACTATATTCTCCCAGTATTACACAGGCTTGTTTAAATGTTGTGCAGCAAACTTTAAAGGAGCTTCAACATCCTGTTTCTTCAGCAGTGGAGTCTTGCGTGGTGAGCGTGCATACAGGCCATGGTGGTTCAGTGCATTACTTATTGTTTTCTTTGAAACAATCGTACCTGCTAATTCCAGGTCTTTCTGAAGCTCTCCACAAGTGGTCCTTGGCTCTTGGACAACTCTTCTGATAATTTTTTTCACTCCTCTGTCAGAAATCTTGTGAGGAGCACCTGGTCGTGGTCGGTTTATGGTGAAATAATGTTCTTTCCACTTCTGAATTATGGCCCCAACAGTGCTCACTGGAACCTTCAGAAGTTTAGACATTCTTCTGTAACCGATGCCATCATTATGCTTTGCAACAATAWGGTTGTGAAGGTCTTGAGAGAGCTCTTTACTTTTACCCATCATCAGATGGTTCTTGTGTGATACCTGGCCATCATTTGGGACTGAACCAGCTGATATTAATTTGTGCTGACAAGGGGCAGGCTTGTTTTCTAATTACTGAGTGAGTTCAGCTGGTGTCTTGGCTTTCCATGCCTTTTTACACCTCCCTTTCTTCATGTGTTCAATACTTTTTCCCTGTGCCATTCCACATTATTACAAATAACTTCATTTCTGGACATTTATGGTTTGATTTCTTTGTATGTATGGATCACTTGGGTTGTTACCGACATCTGGTGAAAATTTCATGTCATTAGCACCTCTAGTAATATATTTACTGAGAAAAATGGTGACATGTTCAATACTTATTTTACCCGCTGTATTCATTCAAATCAGGTGCGTTGGAGCAGAGAAACAAGTAAAACATGCAGGGCTGTGGACCTCGAGGACCGGAATTGATGACCCCCATGCTAAAGTGTCAGCATTTAGCTCAAATGAAATTGCAAATATGGAATCTTAGAAATACTAGGAGAACATAAATTTTTCAAGAGCACCTTTAGACCTTTTCCAAAAAATTATAATATCATGGAAAAGTTGTTTAGTTTCCATAATTTCATTCAAAAAGTTAAACTTTCATAGGTTATGTATTCAGGACCCACAGTTTAAACAATATCAAGTATTTATTTGATTATTTTACATAATTTGGGCTTCCAGCTCATAAAACCCACAAAAACAGGAATTTAAAGAATTAGAATTCTGTGAAGAAATCAGCCCACATTTTGCAGGGCATGAATGTTGTAACTAGGTGTGACACACTAATCATCAACTAAACTCAAAGCACCTGCAGCTTTCCCCAGGTGTCATTAAGTTGCTTCAGTTCAGTATGTGGAAGACTGTAGACCTAACAACTGGCCAGAAGACCATCATTGATACCATAGGATGGGTAAGCCACAAAAGTTCATAGCTAAAGAGGCTCGCGGTTCACAGAGTGCTGTGTCGAGGTATATCAATGGAAAGTCTGGTGGAAGAGCAAAATGTTGCAGGAGAAGATGCACCAGGAGACGACTGTTTCAGTGGATTATCCAAAGAAAGATTCAAGAATCTGGCAGAAATCCAGACAGAGTGAAATGAGGCTTCAAAACCCACCACCTTCAGACACATCCGCGAGATGTGCTTCAACTTTTGGGTTCCTTGGGTCWAGCCACTTCTAGACCTGAGCCAACRTAGGTAGGAAGCATCTCAAATGGGCCAAGGAGAAGAAGGGCTGGACCATTGGCCAGTGGTCCAAGGTTCTCTTTTCTGATGAAAGTAAAGTGTGCCTTTCATTCGGGAATCAAGGGTTTGGAGGATGACGAACGAGAAACTGAACTTAAGCTGCTTGAGGTCCAGTGTGGAATATCCGCAGTCAGTCATGATTTGGGGCACAATGTCCGCTGCAGGTGTGGGTAAACTCTGCTTTCTTAAATCCAAGGTCACTGCATTGGTCTACAGATGGGTCCTTCTGCTGAGGATCTGTAAGGAGATGCAGATTTCATCTTCCAGCAGGACCTGGCCCCTGCCCATCAGAGGTGTCAAAAGTATTCACATTCATTACTCAAKTAGAAGTCTAGATACTAGGGTTTAAAAATACTTTTTTGGAAGTAGAAGTATCAACTTGAGCTTTTTACTCAAGTAAAAGTATAAAAGTACTGGTTTTAAAACTACTTAAAGTATAAAAGTAAAAGTAATGAACACTATAAATAAGACCATTAAAGATAAAATCTTAGGCTGTGCCTCAGGGTTTATAGCATTCCCCCCACTCCACACACACACACAC